ATCCAAGTGTAAAAGCATCAAATCCATGGGCTCTTTTGCACCACAGACCAGCCCAGATCCTTGCAGACGCTAGGCCGTCCTCTTAGTTGGGCCTGACTCATGAGTTTTGGGTAGGAGCCCTAAACTAATGTTTGCGGAGCGGCACACTATCCCATACCTGCTGGTGCCCCACTGTAGTGTCTGATGGCACTGTATTTTGCCTGCAGCTCTACTTGAAAAGTGCATGAGGCAATGACGAAAAGAAAGTGATTCGGTTGTTTTTCATACTCGAATGTGAACTCATTGGAGGTCAAAGCGAAATGGCCCGACTCAAACAGGTGAGTGAATTGCCTCGTTCCATATTATAAATACTAGGTATGGGTCAAACTGGGCAGGTTTGGTTGGTAAAAGATGAATATTTGGGTCGGCGAGCTTGTTTGCAGCTTGTTGTCAAGATGGCAGTGTAAAGGTCTTCGAGCTTATTCGCCACGGATGTGACTGAATTCAACTTCTCGTAACAATTAACCCAACCTTAACCTCGACTTGTCAGGATCTGTTGAATGAAGAAATGGTGCTTGCTGGTCCTCCCTCCGTCATTTGCAGATCAGAGTAGGTGTTTGGGGATGCCATGCCCCTTTCTAGGTAGCTAATCGATCTTCTCTTTCTCATCCACCAACTCTCCTGTACCTCTACAGGACCAAACGATGAGGATGAGGATCCAACAGCAGCGGAAGGGGAGGCAGCAGCAGCAGCAGCAGCTGCCACAGCAGCGCTACCGTTAGCAGCAGCACAAGGGATGCAGGGTGATGGTGTTGTGGTGGAGATGGAGACAGCACGGCCATACGTGTGTCGAGAGTACTCTCTGGCTGAGCTGGCGAAGGCAACAGGAGAGTGGGCAGAGGGGACCAGGATAGGAAGTGGCAGCTTTGGGGATGTCTACAAGGGTGTGTCGCCCCACGATTGCAATCAAGCCTGGGCAGTCAAACGAGCTCGAGTGCTCACCAACGACTTCCAAAGAGAGGTATCATGTCGCGAGTCTCTAATATGCTGATATGGTTTGAGTCTATGTTGATATGTTTGTGCCACCTTTCTTGTTGGTTTATTTCTGCCAAATCTAAGCGTATCTGGTGGTCCAATTATTCAATCTCCTTTGATCTGTTAACGGTTTTCCCTTTTAGGTGAAAGAGATGGCAAGCAAGCACCATCCGCATCTCGTGCGTCTGTTGGGCTATTGTATCAACTTCGACCCCTCGACACGACTCATAGAGCAGATTCTCGTATACGAGTTCATGCCCAACCACGACCTTGAGAGCTGGATCGGTCCTGGTGTCCCCCACCCTCTTTCCCTGCGTCAAAGGCTTGACGTTCTGATTGGAGTGGCAAAGGGGTTGCAGTATCTGCATGACTTTGGCATTGTGCATCGCGACGTCAAGCCCGCCAACATTCTCCTCGATGCAAACATGCAGGCATGTCAATATAGTTCTAAGCCTAGCTGTACATGGTGGAAGACGCCTACTCTTATCCATCCGTTTGCAACTATCAAGTGGTGTTTTGAATCGCCTATTTTGCTGCTCATCTTGCACAATAGTGCTGTTGTTGTCCATGGCCAGGCCAAGATTGCAGACTTCGGGCTCGTGAAGCTTGGTGGGGGCACCGCTATCCGAACGTCTGTAGCTGCCACTCGAGTGATGGGAACACCGGGCTATGTAGACCCTGCGTATTTCAAGTCTCACAAGGCCACTCCAGCAGCAGATGTGCACAGGTGAGCAGAGTAGGTCAGGCTAGCAAATCCATGCAAGTTAGCATAATGGCATGAGAAAACAGTGAAGGTCAGCAGATGAGCACATTGGCGTGAGAGCACTATTCAAGAAGGCTTCCAGATTTGATGACAAAATGTTCATGAGTTTCTGTTTCTTCTAAGGAAGGAAGGGTTTGGGTTTCGGGCTTGCAGTGATTTCTATGTTTCCTTTGCCTCACACTCAAAGAATGTCCATGCTTGACATTGAAGCTATTTCCAGGCGTTTTTACCAATTAGGTAGCTTGGTGATGCTTGGTGATGGGGCTTGGGTGACGATCACTTGTGGAATGATTGGGAAACAAATTCCAGTGTGATCATAAAGCTTTTGTACATCTGAGCATGATTTCAAGTATGGTGCCTTTGTTTATTTCTGGGTTGCAGTTTTGGCGTGGTGATGCTGGTGGTTATTACGGCGCGCAAGGCTGTCCATGTAACAGAGGACAACCAGATCAATCTCAAACAATGGGTGGCAGATCTTGCAACACAAGAAACCCAGCTGCACTGCGAAGTGAGTTTGCTTGCTAATTTCATTTTTCAATGTTTTCTTGTTACCCCTAGCCAAACATATGTAGGCCAATTCATGTTCTCTTCACCTCTGTTCCCAACAGGATACATGCTGCAATGATTAAGACCAAGTTTAACAAAGACGAGCACTTGACTTTGCCTCACATTGTATATGTGACATGATTCACCTTCCTATCATTCTGCTTTCTATGTAGCACTAATTACCTTTGATCATACATCATTCCATTCTTCTCTGCGTTGCCACATTTCTACCATTCTTCACAGGTTGTTTCTTGATGTAAAACTCTGTGAACATTTTCCATCACCAAATTTCATGTGGTGTATGCATTCAACCTCACAGGTGGCCCCGTTGGTGGACTCCGGTGCTGTATTGGCCTTTAAGGACCCCCACTTGGACGCACCACACGACTTGGTGCTGCGCTGGGCTCGCCTTGCCCTCTCCTGCACCGCCATGCCTGTAGCCTCCCGCCCCTCCATGTATCAAGTGCTGGGAGAGCTGGTGAAGTTGAAGCAGGAAGTGATCGGAGCACATGTGGGCGATGCAATATCTCGCATTGACATGGAAATTGAGAGTTCCATTGGCTCCTCCGGCTTCACTGCTGAATTGGCCCGTGCGGAGCGAGAGGCCATGCCAACTGACTCTCTTTTTTAATAGACGTTGTTTTCACTTGCACCTCACTGGTTCACCTTGTGCGTCTGATACCGACAGTTTTTTTCCACATTGAAACATGTATGGGGCGATGAGAAACATTGATAGTGGTTTAGGAAGGGATACTGGTAGCAGTTTCTGGTGAACACAAAAGTGGGACAGGAAAAGTGGGCTGAGGCAAACTATAAGCAGTAACCATAGATTTGGCTTGTCCATGGGCACATATTCTGTGCTTTGTCACCTTTTTCTGTCTTACTTGTATGCATGACGTTCTCTAGATTATAGAATAGGTTCACTACCAACGTGGGACTTCCAGATAGAAATAACGTCCCTTTTCCGTGGCAGCATCAAACATCACGTTTGTAAAGCACTACACTCTCTCAAGATCTAACCTGCAATGCACTACCCCTGCGCATCCTAAGCATTGGATCTCATACCCTCCACTCATCCCATATTTCCTACTCCTCTCATACTCCCTTTTTCTCCATACCTGCCCACCCCCTCTTCCCCAATTATCTCATACTCCTCTCCTCTCATACCCTGTACCACCCTTCGTACCCCCAAGTTCTTCACACCCCCCACTCCTTCCGTGCCCCACACTCTTTTCATACCCCCAACCCCTCTAATACCCCTGAATCCTCTCACTCCCCTCACTTCTCTCATAATCTCCCTTCTTTCATACCCCCACTTCTCGCATACCTCCACCCTTCTCATACCCACCGCTCCTGTTATGCCCCCAGTCCACTCATGCCCTCACTCCTCCTATTCTCCCCACTCCTCTCATTTCCCCCACTCCACTCATTCACCCCAATCCTCTCATACGTAACCCCCACTCCGCAATTGCCCCCCACTCCTCCCATACCCCCCACTCTTCTCACACCTTCTCGACTCCTATCCTCCATTCCTCTCACAACCCCCACACCCCTCACCCATGCTCCCACACCATCTCGTGGCTCATTTTCTCCCATTATGTGGAACTCCCCCGGCTGCTTAAAACCATGCATGATCGGTGGTCGAAGACTATGCCCATTCACCGATCTTACATGCAATTGATGCCATCCAGCAGACGTTTTTCTCCAGTCGTCCGCCTTTGGAAAGGTAAGCCTGGCAGCCACTTTTCTGCAGGCGGCTCTGCTGTTACTCTGTCTGCTCTTGGCAACTTGGCAATATCAGCTCCCATTTCCGCTGCTCCTTCTCTGGCCTTTCTACATTAGCACCTGGCGCGGTGTGCTACCCACCCAGGCATCTGCCACGCCATGCCAATCCAAGGAACTGCTGTTGATTCTTCTCCTGCTGTCTTCCCTTAAGTTCCTGCTGTTGCTGCATCAGCAACACCAACAAGCCTCTCCTCTCCATGTCTCCAACACACCCCACGAGTCTGCTCATGCACTGAGCTCGTGCATCATCTCCATCCCTGGTATAGCGTTTTATCCCACCCAGCACTTACACCTCTGCCATGCACTGGCATGTTAAGCAGCTGCCGTTCCTTCTGCTCCGCCTTTCAGCTGCTCCTGCTTTCGGTCGTTCTACTCCTGCTTTCTACCCCATGCCTTGTGCCTCTGCATTCTCCGCCTCGGCAGCTGCAGCTAGCTTCTGCTCATTCCCAGGGCTTTTGCACCTTCACACCCTGATGATGGCTTTGCCTCCGCTCGGACCTCTGCCATGCATTGGCCAAATTACGTATGTTCTGCTCTTTCTGGTCTTGGCTCAGGGAGAGTACTGTATTGTGGCTGCAAATACTGTATGCTTGTGTGATGGTTGTGGAAGTTCCTGCCAGGCTGTTAAGCTTATTGTCGCAAGATGCTTGAGATTCTTGTATTGGTCATTGTCAAGTGAGTCCGTTGTTGCAGAAGGATAGAAAACTTCGTGGCAACGAATATTTGTGCAATGCTGGATGTACATGTTGTACACTCTGAAACCTGATACACTATTTTCTTAGAGTAAGTTGCTGAACTACGTGCCGCCACTCTCCCGCAAAGAACCAGCAGACTGCTGTTCAGCAGTGGAATGATGTATGACACTTGGAAATCAGTGTGGGGGAACGTGCTGTCACTCTTGAGGAGCAGCAGCAGCAGACTTCCTTTCAACAGCATCCACACGATCACAAATCGCCATCGTCACTCGAAGGGGCTGCTCGTTGTTGCGGAGGGCGAGGATGATGAAGGCCCAGAGAAGGCAGAGCACACTGCCTGCCAGAGAAACAACCAACGGCCCAGAGGGAGACGTGATAAGAGTGGACATCTTTGCCTTGCGCGTGCTGAATAGGCCCTGCAAAGAGGGAGAGCAGGCACGGCAGGGAAGGTAGGGAAGACAGGGAAGGGAAGGAGGGACGGGAAGGTAGGGAAGGGAAAGTAGGAACGGGAAGGTAGGGAAGGGAAGGGAGGGAAGAGAAGGCAGGGAAAGGAAGGTAGGGAAGGGAAAGTAGGAAAGGGAAGGAAAAGAAGGGGAGGGAAGGCGACGAAGATGCAGGCTGATAACTTGCAGAGCACACTCCCTGGAATTTCGTCCACTCCAAAAGAGCCAATCCATTGTTTTTAGACCACAGCTCTTACAAGGGTGGCGAACTTAGCATTGTGCCTACCTTAACGGGACCACTTGAAGTTTAAGGGAAATTGGTAGGGTAGGTGGATGACAACAGGGTAGGGGAGGACAGACGGCGGCAACATGGGAGATAGAGGACAGCTCCCCGCTTTTGTGGACAGCACCATGTGCTCCCACCCACGTGCACATGGGGCCTGGTGGTTGAGATTTTTGAGAGTCCTTGCTAGGGAGATGTTAACAACACACTCGTGGCAATGTTGTTAACAACCCACCATCCACCACCCACAATCCACCCCGCACCATCCACCATCCACCCCGCACCATCCACCATCCACCACGCACCATCCACCATCGACCACGCACCATCCAGCATCCACCACGCACCACGCACCATCCACCCATCTACCACGCACCACGCACCATCGAGCATGCAGCATGCAGCATGCAGCATGCAGCATGCAGCATCCACCATCCACCATCCACCATCCACCGTCCACCATCCACCATCCCGCATCCACCATCCCGCATCCACCATCCCGCATCCACCATCCCACATCCACCATCCCGCATCCACCATCCCGCATCCACCATCCCGCATCCACCATCCCGCATCCACCATCCCGCATCAACCATCCCGCATCCCGCATCCGGAGCTGAAGGGGGGGAGGGAAGTGGGAGTGGGGAGAGGGGCGAGAGGGTCAACAGCACATTAGCTTATGAAAGGGATGTACTGACAGAGCAGAGCTTGGGGGAGAGGGGGTTGGGGGGGTGAGGAAAGGGGGTGTGGAGGGAGATGGTGCAGGGAGGCAAAGTGAAATGCGCCCACGCCGTGGCAAAGGGCAAATGAGGGGGGAAGGGGAATCGGAAAGTGGGGAGATAAGGATACGGTTGTGCCCTGCGATTGATGTGCTTTTGTGGTAGGGCAGATGCGAGGGGGTCAAAAGTCCCTGTGGGTGGGATGCACACCATGTGGTACGCAGGCACACGCCCTCGTACACCTGCAGGGGGGAACACGGCCAGTGGGGGAAGGAGACGGGGGGGGGGGAGGGCGGGGATGGCGCGGAGGGGAACGGGCGGGGAGGCTACGGGTGCGTGATGTGGCAGTGTGCACACACCTGAGCCATCAATGTCGCACGGGTGAGGGTGTGTGTAGAAGCGAGAGGGGACAAAACTCAAGCAATACAAGACTGTTAGCAATCACCGTCACCACACATTTTTCCTCACTGCGCAAACCTCACACTTTCATCACAACCAAACCCCCATTCCTTCTTTCCCAGACTCCCCTCTCCCCACCTTTCTCCGCCCTCCCCCCACCTCTCCCCGCGCGCCCCCCCCTCTCTCCCGCCGCACCTCGAGGAAAGGAAGGCGTCCGCAATCTCGTCGCGAACGCACCCGCTTTTGTTCTCCATGCCCCTTTACAACCCCCCCCCCCCCCCCCTCCCCTCCCCTCTCCCCGCCCCACATCTCCTCTCCCCCCGCCCACATCTCCCCGCGCCCACCTCTCCCCGCGCCCACCTCTCCCGCACCTCGAGAAAGGTGTCGGCGATCTCGTCAGGGGAGCACCCGCTCTCATTCTCCATGCCCATCTGCTGCTGCCGCTCTGCCTTGTGCGGGTTTTATTATCAGCATCAGCTGCATCTGCACGCACCGTTACGCGCGGCAGGCACGGAGATTGGTGCGGCGAGGTTGGTGCGCGGCAGGGTAGGGGGTGGGGGGGAGGGGGGAAGTTGAGACGAGAGCAGAAGGGAGGTGACCTAAGCGCGAGAACGAGGAAGACCGACAATGGCGGACATGCAACAATAACAGGCCGGTATGGCGAGCGCGCGCACTCCTCCTACACCGCCATTTTGCGATGCAGGCATCGAAATGCAGACTCGAAGAAGTTTCTTGAGACTGCTGGTCGGCTGGTGCACATGCGTGAACGTACCTCCTGCACCGTCAAGCCGAAGACAGCGATAACTGGGCTAAGCTCGCAAAAGCGTTGAAAATCATTGAAAATCAGAATCTAGCCTCACGAAGTCGAGCTCGACTCGTCACGTCACGAGCGACTGTTGGTCGGGAGCTTGTCTGATAGCGACTCTAAGCTCACACGAATGTTCCGCGAAAACATTGAATTCTAGAGGCATGAGGAAAAAACTGATGACGTCAATAGGCGCGGAGGAAAGTATGAATGTATTGGACGTGCACTAAAGCATTTAATTCACGAACTAACAAGACTCGACGTTAAAGCGACGGTGCACATTTGCCACCCAAAACCCAGAACCCTGGCGAACTGTTACTGCGGATGGAAAGTGTCCGCACGAAATCCTGGTTTTCGCCAGCCAGCACTTTCGCGCTGGCAAGCCTGGTTCAAAAAAAAAACTTCTGAACCCAACACTGCCAAAAGTTGCCCGTCGCTTTAACGTCGGAAGGGTTGCGTAGATGTTACATTCTTAGTTGACAATAATAATTAAAAAAAAAATGCAGTTTTTTCTTGCTCCAAATTTAGGTCTACCGTTCAAGGAATATGGCAAGCGCTTTTTGATGGTTCAATCTATTCGTTTCAACGTGGATGTTTATGATTATTAACAATTGATGATTCTAATACGTTAAGACCTAGACACATTGATCGTTTTTTTTATATAGTGAACAATGATGTGCTCTTTCCTCAAAGATAATACTTTGTATTGTAACATTGCAACATTTCTTGTGGTTCATAGTGAGTTGTTTTCTGCCCACTCAGTGTCACGTGATTGTGCGTGTGTTTTCACGTGACAATCCCACCCACCTGTTGCCTCTTTCTCCCGACCACCTACCTCGTAGCCTCTACCTCCACCCCGCCACGCCATCCTTTCTTTCCCACCGCGCCGTCCTCTCTCCCTCCCACCCGCCGTCGCCTCCCACCCGCCGTCGCCTCTCCTTCCTACCCGTCGTCGCCTCTCCCTCCTCCCCGCCGTCGCCTCTCCCTCCTCCCCGCCGTCGCCTCTCCCTCCTCCCCGCCATCGCCTCTCCCTCCTCCCCGCCGTCGCCTCTCCCTCCTCCCCGCCGTCGCCTCTCCCTCCTCCCCGCCGTCGCCTCTCCCTCCTCCCCGCCATCGCCTCTCCCTCCTCCCCGCCGTCGCCTCTCCCTCCTCCCCGCCGTCGCCTCTCCCTCCTCCCCGCCGTCGCCTCTCCCTCCTCCCCGCCGTCGCCTCTCCCTCCTCCCCGCCGTCGCCTCTCCCTCCTCCCCGCCGTCGCGTATCCCTCCTCCCCGCCGTCGCCTCTCCCTCCTCCCCGCCATCGCCTCTCCCTCCTCCCCGCCGTCGCCTCTCCCTCCTCCCCGCCGTCGCCTCTCCCTCCTCCCCGCCGTCGCCTCTCCCTCCTCCCCGACGCCGCCTCTCCCTCCTCCTCGCCGCCGCCTCTCCCTCCTCCCCGCCGTCGCCTCTCCCTCCTCCTCGCCGTCGCCTCTCCCTCCTCCTCGCCGCCGCCTCTCCCTCCTCCCCGACGCCGCCTCTCCCTCCTCCTCGCCGTCGCCTCTCCCTCCTCCTCGCCGCCGCCTCTCCCTCCTCCCCGACGCCGCCTCTCCCTCCTCCTCGCCGCCGCCTCTCCCTCCTCCCCGCCGTCGCCTCTCCCTCCTCCCCGCCGTCGCCTCTCCCTCCTCCCCGCTCTCGCCTCCGGCGACAGGTGCCCGGAGCGCAAGCGCAAGCGCGAGTTGGAGCGCGAGCACGAGTTGGTGCGCGAGCGCGGGTTGTTTTCTGAGGCACCGTGGTTATCAGGTGCGGTCCCGGTCCTTTCATCCTCCATCCCCCTGCTAAATTTTCCTTTATTTTCTGCTCTTGTCGTAAATTTTATGCGTCAATTTGTCTCCTCTTGCATTGCAATTTCATTTGAAGAAGGGGAGAGACTCAGCGCTAGGGAGAGCGTGCGCATGGGAGCGAACGCGCAGGAGAGAGCGCGTGAGAGAGAGCGTGAGAGAGCGCGTGAGAGTGCGCGTGAGAGTGCGCGTGAGAGTGCGCACGTGAGGGAGCGCGTGAGAGTGCGCGAGAGTGCGCGCGTGAGAGTGCGCGCGTAAGAGTGCGCGCGAGAGTGCGCGTGAGAGGCCGCGTGAGAGGGCGTGAGGGAGCGCGTGAGGGAGCGCGTGAGAGTGCTCGTGAGAGTGCGCGTGAGAGAGCGCGCGAGAGTGCGCATGAGGGAGCGCGTGAGGGAGCGCGTGAGAGTGCCGCGCGTGAGAGTGCGCGTGAGAAAGCTCGTGAAAGTGCGCGTGAGAGAGCGCGTGAGGTAGCGCGTGAGGTAGCGCGTGAGAGCGCGTGAGGTAGCGCGTGAGAGTGCGCGTGAGAGTGCGCGTGAGAGTGCGTGCGAGAGTGCGCGCGAGAGAGCGCATGAGAGAGCGCGTGAGGGTGCGTGTGAGAGAGCGCGTGACAGTGCGCGCGTGAGAGTGCGCGCGTGAGAGTGCGCGTGAGAGAGGTCGTGAAAGTGCGCGTGAAAGAGCGCGTGAAAGTGCGCGTGAGAGAGCGCGTGAGGTAGCGCGTTAGGTAGCGCGTGAGAGCGCGTGAGGTAGCGCGTGAGAGTGCGCGTGAGAGAGCGCGTGAGAGTGCTCATGAGGGAGCGTGTGAGAGAGTGCGCGTGAGAGAGAGCATGGGGGAGCGCGTGAGAGTGCTCGTGAAAGTGCGCGCGAGAGAGCTCGTGAAAGTGCGCGTGAGAGAGCGCGTGAGGTAGCGCGTGAGGTAGCGCGTGAGAGCGCATGAGGTAGCGCGTGAGAGTGCGCGTGAGAGAGCGCGTGAGGGAGCACGTGAGGGAGCGCGTGAGGGAGCGCGTGAGAGTGCGCGTGAGAGAGCGAGTCAGAGTGCTCGTGAGAGTGCTCGTGAGAGTGCTCGTGAGAGTGCGCGTGAGAGTGCGCGTGAGAGTGCGCGCGAGAGTGCGCGTGACAGAGCGCATGAGAGAGCGCGTGAGGGTGCGTGTGAGAGAGCGCGTGAGAGTGCGCGCGAGAGAGCTCGTGAAAATGCGTGTGAAAGAGCGCGTGAAAGTGCGCGTGAGAGAGCACGTGAGGTAGCGCGTGAGGTAGCACGTGAGAGCGCGTGAGAGAGTGCGCGAGAGAGTGCACGAGAGAGTGCGTGTGAGCGCGGGTGTGAGTGTGAGTGTGTGTGAGACGGTGTGTGAGGGCAAGTAGAAGAGTGAGTGCGAGTGTGAGTGCGAAGGCGAGTGTGAGCGTGAGTGTGGGTGTGGGTGTGAGTTGAGTTCAAGGGTGCCACCGTGCCGGCGACTGTGTGCGCGTGTGAGTGCGAAAGTGTTCGAGTGAGTGCGTGAGTTCAAGGGTGAGTGCAAAGGTGTGTTTTTGTGTTTCTGAGGGTGTGTCTAAGAACGGTTGCAAGTAATTGTGCGTCCGTGAGTGGTTACGAGAGTGAGTACGAGAGTGTGTGAGGGTGAGAGGTTGGTTTTTATCCGGGTGCGAAAGCGGGTGTGAGTGCGAGTGTGAGTGCGCGCATGTACTTGAGGGTAAGTGCGAGGGTGCGTGCAAGTGCGTGTATGCGGGTGAATATGAGAGGAAGTACGAGGGTGCGTGTTTAGGTGAGTGCGAGGTTGAGAAAGAGAGCAACAGTTGGAGCAAGTGCGAGAGTGAATGTGAGTGTGAATATGATGGTGTTGGGTTTGGGGTGAGTGTGAGCTCGAGTGTGAGGGTAGTTCAAGGGTGAGTGCGAGGATGAGTGGGTGTGCGTGTGAGTGCAAGGCTGAGAGCGAGACTGCGTGCAAGTGTGTGTCTTAAGGTGAATGCGAGAGCAAGTGCGAGTGTGAGTGCAAGGGTGCATGTGAGTGTCCTTGCGTGCGCGTGTAAGTATTTGTGTTAGTATGATTGGAATGAGAACGATCATGAGTGCGAGGGTAAGTGCCAGAGTGAACGTGTAGTTTGTATGTGTGTTTCTGTGAGTGTGTCTAAGAAAGTTGAGAGTATTTGTGTGTGTGTGAGTGGGTGCGGGATTGAGTACTAAATTGAGTGCGAACGTGAGTGTGAAGTTGAACTTGAGGGTGGCTTCAAGGTATGGCATCATGCTGGTGTAGTATCTGTGGTGCCACGACTAAAACCAATTTACCTCTGTGAGCTGTCATATTGATTGCTCATATTTTTCGATTGTGCTTATTTTGTCTCTAGTGTGTGAGCTGCATTCTCTGCTTTTGTCTTCTTGTGCAATGCTATGAGGTGTACTCTCTTTGTTTTTGCTTTCTTATGCAGTGTGGGTGAGTTGTTTCCTGCCTGGCCTCCTCGCAGGGCACATGAGTTGCACCCTCTGCTTCTGCTTTCTTGTGCAGGGCGTGTTGCATTCTCTGTTTTTACTTTGTGCAGGGCGCGTGAGCTGCATTCTTTGATTATGTTTGGCGGAGAAGGGAGATGAGGGAGGCAATGGGAGGGAGGGAGGGATGGAGGGAGGGATGGAGGGAGGGATGGAGGGAGGGAGGGTGGGAGGGAGGGGTGGAGGGAGGGAGGGAGGGAGGGAGGGAGGGAGGGAGGGAGGGGTGTAGGGAGGGTAAGGGGTGATTGGCTAGTGATGATTTATTAATAGCAGAATTTCATGATGGTTGTGTGTTGACTATCCGTATGTATCTGTGCGTGTTTGCGTGTGTGTCTGTGTATGTGTGTGTGAGCCTGTGTGAGATATGTATGTGCAGTCGTGTTGTTTGTATCGTTTGTGTCCGTCTCAAGGCGTGTGCCGAAGTGCCTCGTGTATGCAACTCAGGTTGTGATCGCCGGTGGGGCAATAGCCTTAGCGTGCCAGACCAATCTTTGTTGCATCATCGATGCATTTTAGCATGCTCCCCAAGACCCTCGTACCGTAATTGTTATGTGTTGTTGTCTTTGTTGTACCAGTACAATGTCGCGTGTGCTCGTTCATGTTTGTTGTAAGGTGTCATGTTAAAGTGTGTCGGGTCTGCAATTGAGGTGGGGATCGTTGTTGGGGCAGCGTTGCTCGCCTTAGCATACCGGATCCATCGCTATTGTAGCACCAATGCATTTTACCATTCACTTTATGACATTTGTACTTGTTGAGTGTTGTCGTTTTTGCACATGTTCAATGGATGCAAATACCGTTATTTGCATCCACGTCGAATTTGTTGTCTCGACAATTGTGTTTGATGTAAAACATGGCGAGGCTACCAATTGTCTCCATTCGCCGTATTTATCGACGATCATGGAATAATTGGTCTCATTTGGTTTCACCTTTTTTGGAGTCTCTTGTGTATCAGTGCGTCATCTCCACACATTTAAAGCACTCGTTCTCAAAACGTTAAAGCTGGTGCTTCAGATGTTGGGAAAATGGCAAAAAATGCACTGTTCACATGAGTTCCCCAAAAATTGGAAAAACCAAATGTAAAGGGTTGCTACGCAACCCAAAAAAACGGTGAGTTCCAGGATTCACGAGCTGTACTATGCGATTCTAGGACCTAGGAGGATAGGTGGATGTTCGAATTCCAGTGTTGGATGCTTTCACATCCGCCTCAGGGAGGGTGTGTTTCAAGTGCGCACTGCGTCAGGTCAGTTCAGTTTGGATTGAATGGTAACGATCACGACGAACATTGGTTCGCTAATTTCGCAGCGGTGCTATGCAAACCTCTGACGCGATTTTGTTAGAATCTTAGACAGAACGAGAATGATTGACTAGCAGCAGAATGAGAGTACAAGTATGACAAACCTAAAGTTCTGTACCCCCTAGAGGCTAACCCACAATAGCCTACACAAATATAACACATACAATGTTTGACACACCCCCATAGGCTAAGTGGGGGAGAACAAGGGGTCACAGGACCAGTCAAAGCAAAGCAGAACAAGCTCAGGGTGGATCTCAAGGATACCACACAAATTCCGAGCACAAGCAAGCGGTCACAAGACCAAATCACATGCAGTTTGATAATAGAACAAGAGGTACAGTGATCACAACCTAGCAAGTGCAAGCATGCAGGTATATATATAGAGATCACAGTACAAGCAGAGTCAAGAAGTGAGCAAGTGAGGGAGAGTAGGCACAAGGCCTAGAACAGTACAGAAACGCTGATGGTCACAAGGCTGAAGCGCCTTGGTGAACACGTCAGCAGTGTTGGCCCGAGTGGCCACGTACAAGAGACGAAGCTGACCACGCTGCTGCAGCTCTCGAGAAAGGAAGTAGCGCAGAGCGATGTGCTTCGTTCTGTGCTCCAGTCTGTGCTCCTGACACAAGGCAATGGCTGCCTTGTTGTCGACGTACAGCACTGGAGGAGAACGAGGCCGCTCTCCCAGGTCGGTCAGCAGGTAGGTGAGCCAGCGAAGCTCCTGGGCAGCCATGGCTGTGGCGTAGATCTCAGCCTCACAACTGGAGCTGAGAACAGAGGAAGAGCGTGTAGAACGCCAAGAAACTGAGCCAGAGCCAAGGCTGAAGGAGTAACCCTGAGACGACCGCTGAGTAGCCTGGTCGTCAGCCCAAGAAGCGTCTGAGTGTCCAGTGAGGACAACGTCGCGCCGTCCTCCAAGCACAAGCCCCATGCCCGATGTACTGCACAAGTAGCGCAACACCCTCTTAGCAGCATCCATGTGCTCCTTCCGGTGATGGCCAGGAGCGACATAGCGTGCTAGGATGCTAAGAGGGTAGGCTAGGTCAGGTCGAGTGCAGGTCATCAGGTATATGAGGCAGCCCACAAGCTCTGGATACGGGCCACTCGGCTCTACGGACTCATCCGAAGGCAGAGCTGAGAGCGAGTGACCGGTAGGCAGAGGAGTGGGCTGAGGCGAGGAGTACGTGAAGCGGAAGCGCTGAAGGACCTGCTGCACCATGTGTGACTGAGTCAAGGTGATGGTGCGCTGTGCTCTGTCCCGGGTGATCCGCAAGCCAAGATAGCTTGTCAGTTCACCCAGGTCTGTGCACGTGTGTCTCTTCTGCAGCTCCGACTTCACGTGGGCGAGTGCCTCAGTGTCAGCAGTAGTAAAGACCAAGTCGTCTACGTACACGAGAACGTAGAACGGCGGCAGAGTGGTGTCGGTGCGTAGGAACAACGACGGGTCAGCAGTAGAAGGAGCAAACCTAAGAGCCGCAAGAGTAGTCCTCAGTGTGTCGTGCCACTCACGGGGTGCCTGGCGGAGACCGTAGACTGGCCGCCGGAGGCTCCACTGGGTACCAGGAGGGAACGACCCAGTGAAGCCAGGTGGGCGGCGCAGCCAGATCTCCTCGTGCAAGGTGCCCTGTAGGAACGCAGTGCTGAAGTCAAGGCAGTGGAGCTCGTAGTCACGCTGAGCAGCGACGTGCAGCAGAACCCGAAGAGTGGTCATCTTCGGGGTCGGGGAGAAGGTCTGGAAGAAGTCAACTCCCTCTAGCTGACTGAAGCCTCGTGCAACGTAACGCGCCTTGAAGACAGGCGGAGAACCCGGCGGCCGCTTCACCCTGAAAATCCACATGCCACTGACGATGTTCGCCCCAGGTGGGGGAACCTCGTCGATGTAGGTGCCTGTGGACTTCCAGGAAGCCATCTCTGCGTCCATGGCTGTCTGCCACTGAGAGGAGTAGAGACCCTCCATCGCCTCTGCGTAGGAGCGTGGGGTCGGGATGTCTGGTGCATCCGGGTCTCCCTCAGGGGCAATCAGCATGGACACGAGATGAGGTAAAGCAGCAGCAAAGCACTCAAACTCCTCCTATCTGTCCTCAAAGACGTCCGTGCCAAGAGCACACTCACCCCCGACGGACGGAGGACAGACAGACTCA